AAATAACGATGAAACAATAATCATAATGAGGTCAGACTCAAACATGCGCGTTGCAAAGGGCGGCGGGAGATGCCATTTGAGCTCAAGGTCGACTTTATTGTGTCTGTGATGGCTCTGAATGCGCGGGTTTGCACGGTCATCATGTCTGCAGAATCCTCATGTGGCTTTCTGATTACACACACACACACACACACACACACACACACACACACACACACACACACACACACACACACACACACACACACACACACACACACACACACACACACACACCATTACGGCAATCAGCTAAGCGGAACAATTACGCTGTGCTTATTTCAAGGATGGAATAAATTAGGTTGTGTGAAAGTGGTGGGAGAAATTTGAGGTCTAATTAGCTCTGGGTAAAGTGCGCCGGGACGCAGATTTAGAGGCTTCTCGACCCCGGGGAGACCCTCGGTGCTGGATTCACCGTGTTTGCAGGAATTTAGAGGAAAATGCTGATGAAAATATGAAATAAGAGCAGTGCACAGTGAGAGCTCTTAAAACCAGAAATAATAATTAGCTGCAAAGACACGCTGGGAAATTGATTGCAGTGCAGGTCGGAATGATAACAAACGCTTAGGGGTAAGATGTTTGGACAGCTATGTTATGCTAACAGTTGGTGAGCTCTGTTACCACAACACCTCTTTGGATTTAGATATCTGTCTCAAATCTGGGCTCTAAATCTCCAAAAGCTGCATTACTGTATAACGCTGCTATCTCACAATGCAATGCACAGAGGAAAGAGCGTAGCTGCTAAAAGCTGCAGAACATTAAAACAAATTGCAGATGATGGTAAGAGAAAGCTAACGGGAAGATTAAAAAACGGTATTGATTCTTCAGTGAAACATTTTGCTCCGTCTTAGTGAAGTTTAATCGACAGACGAATTCCAATTTGAGCTTGGATTGACATCGCTACATCCACCGCACCATTTACTTTTAGTGCAAAACCGTAAAGTATACTGCATTGATTTCTTTTACACTAGTCGAAGCAGAAAGTGTATATTATGGTGACATGTATAGCATAAACACTGTGTTCTACTTGCACAGATCTGCAGTCTCAGGATTTTCTCCAACAATTTCTTCCAACAGAGGCCATTAAATAAACGAGGATTTACTATTGGGGGGAAAAAGGAGGGCGTACCGAGGCGTTTAGCTTCTACTCTGACCTTTCTGCAGCTACATAAAACACCAGCCAAGCACTTTCAGTGACTTCCTGTCCTGACGGCAGAAAACGGACGCTGTAAAAGTCAATTAGAGGTAGTGTGGGCGGAGAATGGGGATACAAAAGCTCCCTTCTGTAACAGGCAGAGGGATGAGTCTGCACATACAGCAATGTGAGGCTGTGACACTATCAGAGTGTGTGTGAGTGTGTACATAATCATGTGTGTTTTCTGGGTAACCCTCTGTCTGTGTACACACGACAGCGAGGGCTTGTCTTAGTGCTGTGGGTGAGATTGACAGGTGTGCAGGGAACAGGATGATATTTAATTCTGCGGGGAACATGTCTGGTGGCTTTATCAAAACAGAGGAGACATGGAAGAGAGCCTGTTCAATTTGAAACAGACAAAAAAAATCAGCCAAACCTTCCAGTCTGTGTAACAATGTGTCTGCTGTGGCATCGGGGGATTCTCTCTGCGGGGCGTAATTGGCTTTTTAAAATCGTTTGTGAATGCTGTTAAAACCAGTGTCTCCTTTTATTACTGGCTCTTTAACAACTAGACATTAAAACAATAGTTCACCTCGCCTAATGGCAGGCCGCCGGTGCATAATTGCAAATATGATCACTAGAAGTGATAAATTATGAATTTGAATATGCCATTATTTGCTGGAGCACTGAGGAGAATACATTAGGAAAGGCTGTGTCTGACTCCTCAGTGAAACATATGTGTGCACACACACACACACACACACACACACACACACACACACACACACACACACACACACACACACACACACACACACACACACACAGTCTCTCGTCCTTGACGATACATCCTAAATACTGTTAATCCCCTCTGTGTTTACTCCTACATTACTTCCTCATTTTCTCTCTGTCACGGTGTTTCTGTGTTTCTGCTCTTCTTGTTTTTCCTGAGGGAATGAAAGTGTGAAGGTAATTAACCTGAAGTAGACGAGACATCTTCCCCCCCGCTCTCTCTCCAGAGGGCAGTTGTTGATGATTCAAGAAAGAGAAAAGGGCACAAAGTGAATTTGAGAGTGTGTGTTTACCTTGTTTGTTGTCCTTTAAAGGCACTTCACACCTCATTATTACACGGCTTAGTTGGATACTCGATTCTGATTGGTCAAATTGAACATTCAAGATGTTTTCTAATTGTTGCTGCTCCTAAGGAGATAAGACCATTGCTGAGCAAGATCAAGGGACAATGTGAAGTCATATCTAACCGCAAAAAAAAGTCTGGTTGAATTAACGTTAGCTGTCGACAACAAACATTAGTTTTCATCCATCAGCAACCAACAACTTTGGATGATGGCTAAACTGTCCCCAGTAAAGAAAGGCAAGAGGTTCAAAGACAAGGCACTGGACGTCAGAGAAATCAGAAGAAGACCGACAGGAAGTAAACACTGATAGGAACACATTATGGGCTCTGGCATTGTTTAAAGACTGGTTGATGGAAAAGAAAATGTGAACTGGCTTTGGCATTTACAGAAAACTTTGTTTAGAGCTGCCTTAATTATAACTTACGTAGCTGTCGCCGCAGTTCTAGTCGTTGGTACGCATTTTTAAATAAATACAATCTTTTTAAATACATGTTTTGTGTCAAGTCGTTCGTTTATTCAGTACATAGCTGTGTAATAAGAGGGATAATGTGCAGCGAGGTGGTCAGTAATTAAAGAAGAACACTGCCAGGTGAACAGGATTCAGAGCCTTACGTAACCACAACCAACTGTGTAATCTTCTGCAACACTGCCGTTATGAAGCCTAATAATTCCCCGACCAATCTTTCAAGAGCCGTATCGCCTTTTGCCCCCTCCCTTCATTAGAAGATTAGAATTGGTCTGAATGGATTTGCAGGGAGATTGTGTTACCAAACACACCTGTTTCACCTGATATTCAAACTAAAAACTTCTGTTTATTGTCATGCATTGAGAGAAACAGCAGCAAAAGCTATCAAAAAAGTGGCCATGTGGTGAAATGGTCAATACAGAGTTATGCTTGTGAAATAAATATGTTTGAATTTAATTACATTTCTTACATAACAGTGGAAATAGCTCGTTAGAATTAAACTAATAAATCCACAGCCAACACTTAAATTAGGTTTCACTAGGTTTATGTTGCCTTTTGCCTCAGAGTGAAACAACTAATCACTTAGACTTGTCTATAATTTCATTTCATTTCATTGCGATGGGAAAACTTGTGTTAATTTGAGCGAATTAATACCTTATCCATGCTCTCAAATGGATAGTTAATGTGCACAAACATGGATGGAACTGTGTAACAATTTCACCAGTACTTGGAACGGTATGACTTGCTTGAAGTGAATATATCTGCACTTTCCTGGTTGTTAGAAAATGTTTTGGATACATCAGCCCAATGGAATGTTATGTAATGAATGGGACCAGGGGCCTCATGTATAACGGCGTGCGTAGGATTCACGTGGGAAGGTTGCTTACGTAGTAGAAATCCGAAAAATAGGTACATACATTTTCCGACGTTTTCCGATTCACCGAACATTGCGTACCGGCGAGGAAAGTGCGTATGGCACTTCCTACGCCGGTTTCCCTTTATAAATCACAACCGACTCGAAATGCAGTGCAGCTTTTGCGGGCTTCACGTAACGCCCATATTTGCCTATAAATAGTCAAAGAAACGCCCATTCATTCATTCATTTTGACTGAATGAATGAAGAAGATTGCAGGAAATGACGACAGCACAGCTAAAAAAGACATCTCACACCGTGTCAGATTTTGGTTATTTTGGGGAGGTCGAGATAAATCATATTGTTTGGTGGATGCAGTTTGAACCAGAGTAGCAGCATGAAGGTCGGATCGTCACCAAAATAAATAAATAGGCTAAGTGGTCCGAAAATGGTTAATGATAAAAAGAATACACATAGCCTTCCTCAGGCAGTGTGTTTGCACCGGGGACAGGAGACACCCCCTTGATGAGAGACTAAGAAATGATCGGGGAATCCCTCCGGTTCAGCAACTATATATCCATAATCCACCAGTTAAAGGAAATACAACTAATGTGTTGTGTTATATTAGCTGTACAATTTACCACATATGGTGTTCTTAGTTTCCATACCTCCTGTGTTTTACGAGCGACTTATCAAGTCTTGGCAAACGGCATAAAACATGATTAAACGTGATAGTATATAAAAGCATGCTCGTATCTACAACCTATAGAAATGCACAACGGCGTCAGTTTACACGTAATTCTGTCCTGCTTACCGCATCATTTATGAGAATATATTTCATAACATTAACACAACATATGTTTGTATCTTTTATTTTAAATGTATTTATTTTATGTTGTGTGAGCTTATCTCTCTGTACAGCACTTTGGTCTGAAGGTTTTAAAGTGCTATATAAATAAAGTTGGATTGGATTGGATATTCGAGGTGGTTTTAAATAACATATCCGTATTTATTTATTTCTCCAAGTTATGTTTTTGTGTGCACTGAGGAGTCTCAAACAGGCATTTGTTAACTCATTTTAAGATTGGCTTTAAGATTGGTTTGAAAATGAATTCTTCATATATGATAAATGAGAGGTAACATTTTATTTAGACACATATTTCTCTCCATTCTTCCTTCTGCCAACGGTGTCGCAGTTTCTCCTCTCTCCCGTTGTTGTGCTTAGTGCGTACGCATGGGTTAGAGTTTGCGTGGAGGACTGCAAATTTTCCCGTCAAGTTAGTATTTTATAAATCGCAAACATTGCGTAGAAACTGGCATACGCCATTTTTTGAGCGTATATCCCTTTATAAATGAGGCCCCAGAACATTTCTTCTAAATTGCCTCTCAGGACTAAAGCATTATCCATACAGCAGAGATTGGCCCTCATCAGTGCAGCTGCAGTGTGAGGAGAGACTGCCCTCTTGTGTATCGTTGCTGTACTACATCATACACATGAGCAATCCACCCACCGGATTACTTGATTTTTAGCCTGCAGGGCTTGGGTCAGTCTGGCAGTTTCGTTGGACAGCCTCTGGCGTTCCAGACCAGATGTTTGCACAAATGAATCCTGGGAGTCCAGCGTGGCGTGGAGCTCCTGCCTCTCCTCTGAAAGCACCTGTGGAAAGCAGCAGTGGATCCTCAGCTGAGAAAATCCCATTCTAACCTCCTACACTGCACTACATTTACACATTATATTACATGACATACATTTACATGATATATTATCTCACACAAACATTATAGATGGATTCATAGATATACAGGTTAAAGGGAAAATATAAACTCTAGATTTTGGCTTGGAATATCCCTTTATCAATCTCTTTATCAAGCACCTGATAAAGCGCTTTATAAATAGAATGTATTATTATCATTATTATTATTTAAGTCGTGGACACATATAACAATGATGAATATGATTTGGGCATGTCAACTGAGAGGGATGGTTTGGACCTAGTACGTCTAGTATGTTGGTCTTATCAGGTGTCCTCTTTAGTCTTCAGATGCAGATTTTTTAACACCTGTGATATTATATATGCGTGATGGCCGACTGGCCTTCAGGTTTGTTCAGATCTTAAATCTCAGACTGCTCGTGTTGCTCCTACCCCTGAGCTGAGCTGCTCTCTCTGTCCCAGCCACAGCTCCAGCGGGCGGAGGCGCTCCAGCTCCAGCTCCTGAGAGTGCAGGCTGCCCTGAGCCTTCTGCAGCTGCAAACACACACGCTCCCGCTCCTTCTGACACAGCGCCCCCTGGGACTGGAATAACAGAAAAGATGTGTAAAAGTAACTGGCCTCCACTTCACTTCAGCGTTAAAGTCTGACTTGGCATTACATTAGTTTTATTTTACCTTCATGAGTGTGAGCTCATCGGTCAGGCTCTGGTTCTGGGCCTCCAGCTCTGTCACTTGTTTTTTGGACTGGATTTGTTGCTGCTCTCAACCAGCAGGGGTAGTAAGTGCAATCAGTAAGTGACAGGTAATGTAAGAAAATAAGCGTTTACAGAGAGTTGGACTGATGTTGTTGTACCTGGAGCTTTTCACTGAGGCCAGCCATCTCTGATGCTTTGCTATTTGCTCCTCCACTGGACTCCTTCAGCTGTTTGCGCTGTAGCTTGAGATAACTTCTCTTTAACTTATCCAACTGCAGGAAAAGATAGTCAAATTCAAATTTTAATCGGACACTTTTTAATAACTTTTGATTCAGCAGACATTTACTAAAAAATAAGATAAGAAAAAGATTGACCAATACAATTCTCATTAAACAAAAAGAAACATAACGGAAAAGGAGAAGGAAGAAACATCGTAGATATCTTCAATAATACTCAAAATGAATATAGTATTTTTGGGTGACATATTTTAAATGGTTCGTTGATATGTTAGATACTGTATTTCACGGCAAGAAAGTATGAAGGAAAATTGCTATGAAAGAAGAAATACGTCCCATAATTACTTACAAAGTAAAGTAAAGTTATTGATTGATGCATCAGTGTTTCTTAGGGTCAAAAACACTAAACTCACAACTTACAATGCAAGCGTTTAGTTTATTTAATAAATGAGAACATCATCAATGTGAAAAGTGACACTAGATAGATTAGTTACAATTTGCTCAATATATATATATATATAAAAAATAAATCAATTAAACACCTTGAATTTCAGGGGGGGCGCGGGGCACCGTTGGCGGGGCACAGCGTACACCGAGTACACAGAACTGTGATAGCGTGTTAGTCAAAAAGTGTGTTTGTGCCTCTGTGTGGGTGTGTGAGTGAGTGACAAGAGCTATATTCAGAGCTCTGCTGCCTTCATGCTGTTGTAGGATTGGTGTTTAGCTCCCAGGGTATATGCAGGAATCCTGAAGTCAAATGTAATACCTTTTAAGACCATTTTTAAGACCCTTTCCATACATTTTAAGACCTCATCGCCACTTGGAGTTTTAACCGTTACATTGGCGACACACTTTACCTCACATTGACTATATACAGTATTGATTGTCCTTCCTCCTTATCTTCCAACCATTTGGACGCAGACTTGCATTTCCCCATAACGATGTTGTTCAACAA